CAGAAACAAAACAACAAAATGCACTTTTGTATAGTTTACATGTTCATTTGTTGTGCAGTGAGACATGGCAGCCTTCAGGTTTCTGCTCCAGCTGCTCCAGATGTTAGTGAGGTTCAGCTGTCTGCAGGTTCTTTTTGATGAAAAGAAGCTTCTCTGCATCATCAGTTGTGAGCTGGTTTCTTTTCTCATCAACAATATGTGACACTGAGCTAAAAAACCTTTCACTGTCTGCACTAGTGCACGGTAGGGCTGCGTCATATCACATCGTTCACAATAATACCAGTAAAAAAAAAACTTGCCCAAGAAAATAAATTATATCATGATATGCTAATTTCATGACGTAAATGCGTCATCCCACCATGCAGCGGTCAGTGTATTACACTCACGTGGATCATGCAGCGATATTCAAATTGTAAACGTGAAGGCATGAACAGACACATCTGAGCTGAGCGCTGTTTGTCCCAACAGTTTTCGAGCCAGTCAAGGTGAGGGTTCAGCATGAGGGAAGACGTTGCCTTTAGCTTTTTAGCTAGCGCGCTGCTAACTTGGAGCACATCAGTGTCGACGGGTGGGGTGCACAATTCGGTTTGCTAGACTGTGCGCTCAGTTCTGTTGAAGCAGTGGGGCACCCCCCTTGTATAATGGTAGAGGAAACACTGACCATGCATCGACCACTGGTTTATGGTCAAGTCGGACCGCGGAGCCTTACCTGAGTCTGACTGTGCACCAACAACGACTAGGAACTGTGCAGCTCAAACCTTGAGACCAGCTACTTTCCTGAGGATCAGGAAATTGGCTGATGTCTGTTCAGCCAATGATCAGCAGTCCTTTCAGGCAGCATTTCATTTGTTGTCAGCATTCTTTGTCTTTTCTTCGAGTGAGGGGGATTCTAATTGGCGGCTGTGGCTGAGTGGTTAGAGCAGTTGTCCTCCAATGCGAGAGTGGGGATTCGAATCCACCAGCAGTCACATGTCGAAGTGTCCCTGGGCAAGACACTGAACTCCTCATAGCCTCTGATGTGTGTCCCATCGGTGTATGAATGTGATAAAGCTCTGATTAGTCTCTTTAGAATGATTTGTTTAATTAGCTTTGTAGAGATCTAGTAGATTGCTGTATGAACGGGTAAATGATGACACAGATTGTAGTGTAAAGCGCTTTGAGTATCTTGAAATAAGATAGAAAGACGCTATGTAAGTACAGACCTTTACCATAATTGTTACAAGGACTCACATTATGCTTTTGATTGAAGTGATCAGTATTTATTACGTAACTCTGAACGTTAGCGTAAACACCTGTTACAAGGTGCTCAGACCTCTCAATGGTTTCCCCTACAGAAACAAACAAAACATTAATTTCTGTCATTTCAAAGTGCAGAATTCTTTTCCTTAGTAATATTTTTTCAAAAGTTTATTAATGTGAGAAAAAAATGGTTTGTTCATATATATTTTAGCATTGGCTCATTGCTTTATTTTACGTTTTAAAAGAACATTTTAAAAGAAAAAATGAATATTTGTCTTTCTTATAATGTCAACACAAACAAAACATATTAATTGTTATGTGTGTTGAGCTTAATATAAAAATAGCTTTTGTAAAGGAAGAACTACATTTACAACAAAATAGGTTGAAAACAGGCAATTCAGGTTATTGCTAAGGCTAGTATTTAAAAAATAACAACTATAATGTCTTTGAAATGTTCTCTTTGTTGGTTAAATAATTATTCATGCTACTTCAGAGTCTTTAAAAAACAAAATTATTTAAAATTTAATATGAATAAAATTTAAAATGTTTCAGGGACATTTTTAAAAGGAATAAAAATAATATGTTGCATTTTTATAACTGATATCTGGGGTGTTCCTCTGTCAGCGTGATGTGAGACTAGTCTTTAAAACAAACAGTTTGGTTTTAATTAAAATGGAAACTGTTAACTTGAAAATAAAATAGTTAAATTTATGTGGCTTTAATTTTGATATTCCACATCAGATCTTGGTGAAAATTGGTCCGTAACATCTGGAGGTGTTCATCAGTCAGCCTGAAGAGAGACTGGTCTCTGGAGACTTAATGGTTTTTTTTTTTTAGTATTATTGGAAACTTCAGGGAAAACAAATTGACATTCTCACATAATGAACAAACAAATGACCACACAAAACTGTGACAAAAGCAAAAAACATTATGGATCCATATTCACAGGTGGACATTAAAAATCATTTTGTAACACAGTAAGAATGATGTCAGTCACAGCTTTTATTTTGAAAACATCTCATAAATGTTACTACTGTAATTCATAAAGTTTACGTGCACAGCAAAACCATCATTTTGGAAGTGGAGGCTGCTTGACGTCAGTTTTTTACTGCCTGATGTTCTCAGAGTTGGAGCAGGAGCTACATGTCAGACCTCCACCAACCACAAGTTTTTTTCTGTTACAGATGAAGTTCATGTTAATAAATGGTGTGAAGCTGAGAAGAGTTCCTGGGTGAGTGATCCATCAGTTCGCTGGTATCAAACCAAACGTCAGGGTTACATAGGTATGTATTTATTTACTGCAGTCTAAAGTAAAGTGTGGAGCTAAGCCGTGTTAGGAACCGTTTGGATCCTGCGGTCAATCTATCCATGATTCAGACTTGTTGAAGTAAATCTTGCTCTTGTCCTGATGCATGCTCAATAATCAATCAATCATAATATCAATAAATAAATAATAATTATAAATAATAACATAAGTGTGTGTATATATATTTTTTTTTTCCTTCTTCTTTCGGCTGCTCCCTGCGTTATGGGTCGCCACAGTGAACTAAGTCGCACGAAGACTTGGCAGTTATTTTTACGCCGGATGCCCTTCCTGACGCAACCACAGACACCGAGCTACCACAGCCCTGTGTGTGGAGTAGAGGATGACATTTTTCGGGAGTACCACGTGTCACATGATTCCGGCCAGATTCCGGCGGGATCGGAGTCAACCTCATTATAACTCACGTGACCGGACTGAAAGCTAACGGGAGCAGACAGGAGCGGGAACTGACCAATAACCAAAAATGAAAATGAAACTTAAAAAAAAAAAACACGGGCGCAGCTATTTTGTAGTTTTCTTTTAGTAAGCCTTCACTTTAACGCAAGTCAAAAGAACTTCTGGGCCAGAAGTCATCTGTTCCAACCGTAGCTTTTCACCGGGAAGGTGGGAGGAGCAGCTAAGCGGTACCGAATAACTGAAAATAGTTTGCAACGCAAGGTAAGAAGTAACTGTCTGTCTATTAAACTCACAGAACGGGCAGGAAAGTGTCTAATAACCCTGAACTTCATGAGAGTTGTGTTGGTGCTGTGCTGCTTTAAACTTTAGTCTCAGCTGCAGCTGCGAGGAGTCGGACTTTGTTTACCGTCGGTAAATGAACAGACTCAAACAGCGCATTTTTCTCCACCTTGTCCCTTTTAATTTAAAAACTATGCTCTGCTTTGTTATGTGGGTTTTTAGGTTAAAATCTTCATTATCTGTCGCTGTTTGTAATGTAAAAAACCCCCCGAACTCTTCCCGGTTAAAGTACACAAATTCTCCGGTAAAAATATTCCTATTTTTATATTGTGACGTCCTGCTGGATACTGAAATTGAGGAAAACGTGAATAACCATCACTTTATTGTCTAAATAGTTACTGTCGGCTGTAACCATGTCAGTACAACAACAAACTCGTTAGAGTGAAAGCATTCTCCGGTATATCCCAGTTTTTATATGAAAGACTGGTTGCATATATATTATAATAACTGTTTTGGTTTTAGATTTAAGATATGATGTGTACAATTATGTTGTAGACAGGAGCAAGAGTCATGTTACCAGGAGTGGGACAGGACAGGATTTTTTCTGTGGGACCAGGACAGGACAGAAGTGAAAATCCACTTCTGTGTCATCCTCTACTGCCAACTTCATGCGGCCCCTCCTCCTCCCTCACTGAATAGAAACACAGCCCCTCACGTGCTGCTTTACACACACTTACTAATGTCGTGAAGGCAGCACAGCTGAAGAGAATTATTATTTAATATATGTAAATAGTTTATTTTTTAGACATTTATTTTGTACAGTTACAGCTGTTTGTTAATAAATGTGCCTGTGTGACAACTGGGACAAAGCTTTGACTCAAAAATATGTTTTTGTTATTAATTTATGGAAAGAAAAAACATATTGAGATATATATCATATACCACCATTTATCTTAAAATATCAAGATTGTTTTAAGTAAATAGGGCAGCACAGTGGTGCAACTGGTAGAGCTGCTGCCTCTCAGCGAACAGGTCCCTGGTTCAAACCCCGGTCCAGGGGCCTTCTGGGTGGAGTTTGCATGTTCTCTCCGTGCATGCGTGGGTTTTCTCCGGGTGCTCCGGTTTCCTCCCACAGACCAAAAACATGCATGTTAGGCTGATTGGTAACTCTAAATTGTCCCTAGGTGTGAGTGAGAGTGAATGGTTGTTTGTCTCGTTTGTCTCTATGTGGCCCTGTGATGGACTTGCGACCTGTCCAGGGTGTACCCCGCCCCTCGCACAGTGATTGCTGGACATGGGCACCAGCGACCCCCGTGACCCAAAATGGAATAAACGGGTAAAGATAATGGATGGATGGATGGATAGATTTTAAGTAAATATTTTGGTCCATATCGCCCAGCCCTTGAACAAACAAATGACCACACAAAACTGTGACAAAAGCAAAAATATTATGGATCCATATTCACAGTAGGAATGCGCGATATAAACTGTATACGGTAGAAACGATAGAAATGTAGCCTACGATAGAGATCTGTCTTCTACCGGCTAATCGCAGTAATGCTGTGTCTGAAGTAAAATCAGAGTTGTCAGTTTAATTGTTACTTTTGTTTGTTGAAAACTGTGTGTAAGTGGTGTTCAAGTGTAAAATCAAAGTTGTCAGATTTAATCGTTACTTTTTTTGAGTTGAAAACTGTGCGCAAGTGCCGTTAAAGTCTTTTCTTCGAGAGCTAAGTAGCGAATCTAAAAGCTGACTACAGCTGGCTTGCCGTAGAGTTGCCGTATTCTGACACATGCGCAAAACGCTGTGTTCCGTCAAAAGTTTTTTTTTCCATCGAAAGTTAAAGTAAGCGTTGGTCAGCTTTAGAAAAACCTGCTCTCTGATCTGTGAAAATAACACTGTGTTGTGTGATTTTACTGCGAGACCCTCTGGTCAAAACCACATACTCATTTTGTGTCAGCTCTCCATTAAAGCGGAAGGAGTCGCCCACTAGAGGGTTGGAGGGTGAAGTGTTTCAGTGTAAAATGCTGCTCTGTTGCTGTTCATTTATTAAGTAAGGATGGAAACTGTTAAGACTTAACAACATATTATTTTGTTTAAAACATATGGCTAAAACTACATTTGATATCTTTTACACTGTTTTGCACTACAAGAAAGAAGCTTAATACTTGATATGTTTATTATTTAAAAACTCTCTGGACCTAGTAGTGGAATTTTCTTAATTCAAAATATATGATGGCAAAAGGACACCCTATGCTTTTTTTAGCAAGTTTTAAACCAAAAACATATTGAGATATATATCGTTATCGCCATCCTTCACAATACATATCGTGATATGAATTTTATGCCATATCGCACATTCCTAGTTCTGACCCAGATGTGGGGACAGACAGAAAAGTGAGGTGGGGGCCACAGCACAATCACAGACTTTGTTGTTAAAAGTTTGTCGTCTTTTCTACAGTGGAGCTGCATGGTGGAGGTAAATTAAACTGTAAAGGATTTTGTTGACCAGTTAAACCTTTATGTCTCAGCCTAGATAATGTTTTTTGATCAATAATAACACAACCATGTTATTGTTGATGTTTTGTTCTCATGTCAATTAAGGAGATGATCAGAGCCGTAATCCCCAGAGAACCACAGAGAAGAGTCAGGCAGAGACACAGAGATGCAGATGTCTGCCATCACCCTAACCTCAGTGAACCCAGTGACCTGCTGGTGGAATGTGAGGGACACTATTTCAGTGCTATCAAACTGAAAACCAGGTATCTGTGTGTGCAGCAATCATCATCTACAGCCTCAGAGGGAACATTTTCTACTGCTGGAGACACCATCAGCCAGGAGTGGGCTTGTTTTTGTCCAGAGAAAGCAGACATGTTGATGTTTCTGAAGAAAAACAAGTGAAAAGGTCCTTAGTGTGTAGCAGTGAGCATTAGACACTGACATGTCACTGGTTTGCAACTGTTCTTTTGAACTGGAAATTATTTGTTTATTTTAATGTAAGAAAACTGCTTGGAATAGAAATACCAAAGTTAAAAAAATAAAATTCACAATATGTACTGTAATGTGTAACATAATTTTATTCTTGTTAGAATTAATAATAATTACAAAATTGATACCGAAAAAAGAACTGTCCATGAACCGACACCGGTACCAATACCGATTTTTTTTAGAAAGGTACCCAGCCCTATTAGATGGCGCTGTGAATTTTGTACATTCACCTAATGTGCATGCGTGCTGCCTCGGCCCGCTCCTTTCCTCTGGGCTAAAAGCTCAGCTAACAACATCTGAAGTTAAAGCTGGATTTTGGATGAGAGTCGACAGATTTTTACTCCAAGCGGGACCGCTTCATCTAACAGCTCCACACCGGTCGCTGAGCGGACCAGAACCGAGTCGACGATGATGATGTCGAACTTTACTCCGTGATAATCAGCAGTCGATTTACTGCAGGTAAATCAACGTTCTCAATAATGTTAGCTTGTGTTTACTTCGGTTACAATACTACCAACTGAGTTTTTATTTTTATATTTCCTGCGAGGAGAAGCTGTCCTTCCACCAGGCGGGCCAGTTCTGAACGAGCCTCAGCCCAGGTGCAGTGCAGGAGGACGTTGAAGAGAGAAATGTCATGTTGGAAGAACTATTCATTTAAAATTCCCCTCATTTCTTCTTTCCAATCCATTGAATGTTTTAAGCTGCATTAAGCAAAGGAGTGACAGCCTGTTCAAGCCAGAAAAACAACATGTCGCCAGAATCCAGGATGAAAACAGAGAGCAGAGTCCAGTTCATGTAGTTTACAGTTCAGTTAATGTGTTTTTAATAGTGTGTTCAGTTTAATTATCAGTGTTTGTGTGACATACAGTTTGTGATGTTGAATAAATAAATAAAAATTAAACCTGATGTCTTCATTTTCAACTTTAATAACATGCAACATGTTTTGCATCGTTTAAATCATATAACTTGAGTCCAGATAGCTTCATTTAGCTCAGATAACTTCATTATATATCTCCCACACTAACATTAATACTGTTTATTATTGTTAAACTGTTATTATTTAGCACATTTAGTATGTTATAGTGCAGCGTGACACGTGAAATATCTGCCTGCCTCGTTCTATAAACAGCGATATTAGAACTGGATCTGACTGGTGTCTCTTCTGACACAGATGTTGGTCACAGCAGCTGCATTCAGGTGTAGATTAATTAAATATGAGACTCAAAATATATTCCATCAGTCGTAGCTCAGAAAGCAGTGTGTCCGCTGCCATGTTGTTGATAGAAATATGCCGTCTG